CTAAAATGCAAAAATGGTGATATGGTCACAACGGATGCTGCCTCCTAAGCCTAGAAATCCGTTCACAGCACATACTGTCCTGCCGCCTCAAATGCCAGCCGAGTGGTTTCCACCACGGCCAGGCAACCCACCGGCTGCTCAGGGCCTCACCCGCCACTGTGGTAGGCATCGTGGTGCTGGAGTTTGACTGCGGAGTTTTTACAGGAGTGTGGGGATATTGTCCCTTCCTTTTTACATTGTGCTTGGTTTCAAGAGTATTTAGTCAGTGTACTTCTTTAAAGTTCAGTGTCTTTCAGAATCTTGAGTAAAAATGACTCTTCTAACATTTTCCATTGCAGCCTCCTCTGCTTTCCTGTGGCAAGTTTAGCTATATACAGGGATGAAACTAACGACCAATCCACTTGTCAAACACCATACAGCCCACAAGTCTATCCTGCTCTTTCATCGGACAATTAGAGGCTGGTTACTAAGCAAACTTGTCTGCTCGACTTTTTCTTTGAGATAAAGAATCTAAGAAGTTTCTTGGCTGCTTATACTGATAGATTTCTGGAGATACACCCAACCAGATATTTTACCAGATACACCCAACAGATAGGAAACCCATCAGAAAATAAATCTTAGGTTCAAGTGAATACTCTTGCTAAACTATATTTGAGTACCAACTAATATCCTAATTGCTATCCTAATTCCTGGAAAAAATCTTAGCCTATATTAAGTCAAGGGTTCTGTGAGTCACTGTGTAATGAGGTATTATATTTGACCTTTCCTGTACTCTATTAGTTTCTGCTGAGGTCCTGAAGCTGAGAACAACAGCTGTCTTGTAGATCCACAAGTCTAAAAGAGTTTATGGGCGATGAGGAATCACTATACACCTACTGGGGAAAAAACTAAAATAAAAAAAATACTGACATTACCAAATGCTATAGGAAACCAAATCTCTCACACATTGCTGGTGAGAATGTAAAATGGTCAACCACTCTAGAAAATAATTTGGCAGTTTCTTATAAAACTAAACATATAACAACTATACAATCCAACAACAGTCACATCCCTGGACATTTACATCAAAGAAAACTTATATCTACCCAAAAATATGTACATGAATGTTCATAGTAACTTTATTGTAATAGCCCCAAACTGGAAACAACCCCAATGTCCTTCAATGGATGAATGGTCAAACACACTGATATATCCATGGAATAGTACACAGACATAAAAAGGGACAAACTACTGACCCAGACAACTAAGAAAGATCACAGGGTGTTAAGCTGACTGAAAAGAGGAGATAGACAATCCATACTGAATCTGTGTAAATGTGACACTCCTGGCACAGCATTCATTCTCAACCTACCAGAGAGACAGGGCTGGCTCAAGGAAAGGAACTTTTATGAAGAGGAATGTTGGCTGTAGGAAGGACCCACAGGATATCCCCAAAAAGCAAGTGAGAAAGGCATCAAAAAGTACTCAGAAGATAGGGGCCCTTGTTGAAGGGAAAACTAACATTTCTCTCCCTGAGTTGTCTGTTTTTGCTGAGCTGACATCGACTGTGGAAACAGAGAGGAGAATGGAAGTAAAAAAAGAACTAAGGAAAACTAGATCCATAACCCTGGGAGTGAAGGAAGACTTAAAACCAGTGCCTGAGCCCCACTCCACGTAGCCTGAAGACAGAAGGCTAGCCGGAGCTTTCTCTAATGGCAGGACTAGAGGCGGATAGCGGGGGGATGGAGGGGTGGCGAGAGGTGCCCTTCCACTGAGAACAAGGCAAGAAGCATGTGTCACAACTAAGGAGAGCAAGCATGTGTCAGTTCGAAAGAACCTTACCCAACAAGGTGAATTGTCTCAAGCAGAAAGAGGCTGAAAGCATCTCACAGGAGCAAAACCTGAGTGGAATCCATGTAAGTCTGCCAAAGTGCATCAACTTTGCCGGTAATTGCGGGACAGAGATACCAGTGGAGAGTTGAAGGACACTGAAAGATCTGAAAGACTGTCTGCCACCACAGAGGACAATAGACAGCTGAGAGACGACAGATAGCAGACTGGAAACTCACTCCCGTGATCTTCTTATCACTGATCCCCAAAGTCATCCTGGAAAAGCTAAAAGGAGTGAAACAAAAAGCAAGATAAAGGAGGACAGCAAGGATTAGTACAAATAACAAAAACACACTTCTCCTCCTAAGTGTTTCTAGTCTCGGGTGAGATCTGAGCAATGGAGAAAGAATAGAAGCTTGGAATTAGGCAAGAGATTGGGGTTTTGATTGAAATTGAATGGGATTTCTTAATACCCAAAAATGATACCATTTCACTGAGTTCTGAAGATGATCAAAGAGCTAAGGAGGTTGCCCGAGATATCACCAGGAAGGAGAAGGAAAGATCTCACAGAACGTGTCTAAAGGGCCATCACAGGGGAAAAATCAAGCTACATCCTGAGTGCCTCCTGCCATGTCCAGTCTTTTCAATAAACCACCACAAGACCTCACATCTTTCCTGTGATCTTTGACAATATGCCAACCTGTGCTCTTACTGATGCAACCTTTGCTCACGCTAAAAATGTCTTATTCTGATGTCCCGTATCACCTAAGCTTAAGCGTTTTGAAGACATACACAGGGTGGACAAAAGTAGGCTTTCAGTTGTTCATATAGAAAAGAATACAATAATAAATAATAGTACAAGAATAGACTGTGTTTCAGAGACTTGCAACTGTAAATTTACTTTTGTTCCACCTCTGTATTTACTCAGAACACTGTGGTTTTGGAAATCTGTGGATCCCTGAAATCGGATGGTGGATCATTGTAATCCAAGTGTTTCCACCTCACAAATCAGCCATTCTGCTTTCCTTTTCATCAGATTGTGCTGGCACAGTTTCAGTCAATGCCACCATTGTGAAACAGTGGTAAATATAAATATAAGTACTTTCTCTGGGGTCCTATTTATAATAAATAAGGTCCAAAAAGTGAGGTCATGAGGGAAGATTATATAATTTGGAAGCCATGTGAATTATTATCTGTAATTCCTCTGAGAAAATGATCCTTTTGGGAACTGCCTCTCACACTGACCAGCCCTGAGGCTGCTGGCCAGTAGATCAGTTGTCCAAGAAAAGAGGTGTAGGTGTTTTCTTAATTAACCTACATTGATTAGCAATGTCTCCTAAAGATGATTCACGATCAGAATGACTTTGTGACTCACTGGAAAACCTGGACTTTTCCCAAATTCTGTCTCAAAGTGAACAGTAGCAGAAGTGTTCTGCAGCTGGTTTAGTGATGATAGAGATGACTTACTGAATCAGAGTTCTTTCAGGTCCTCTGTGTAGCTTCTCCCTGTCTCCACAAGCAGACTCACTCACATCTAAACGGCACCAGAATTATCACTATCTGTCTTAAGTTGTAACACTTTAATGCACAAAATCATCATAATTCAGCAATAAAATTACCAAATATCTATACATTGAAACAATAGGCAAAATATACTAACATCAAAGTTTCATGAAGATAAATCATTGAGCAAAAGGAGTATACCATGCATACTTTATACATAATATGGTTTTATTTATGTGAATAAATCATATACGACTAGATATACACACCCAGTAATTGTATGTATATTGAAAACCCAAGTCTGGCTATACATTCAATGATAACTGTTAACAGTGGGTCCTGGGAATTGAGAGAAGAAAGAACAATGAAATTTCATCTTTTTAGGGGGATGGGTGGAGGTGGAAGAGGGTATAAGGAGAATAAATGGTAATGGAAAAGATACAACAAAAATAAATTCTTTAAAAATTTAATCTTTTTGTCTTTACACTCCTCTATATTGTTTAAATGTCTTACAGTGAATATGTATTACTTTACTAATTCTTATAAGAACAGTTTCAAAAGGATGACTACTTTTTAAACCATCTCTGTATTCTTAAAACAAACTTTAATTCAGTGTTAGGAACATGTGGTCTAAGTAACACTCATGTCAGAAACACTCAGGTGTTTATGAAAAATATACTTCCTATACTGCATCTCAGCTTTAGTAAATCAAGCCCTCCAGGAGTGAGCGACAGGATTTTGCATTCTTGGCAACTGCACCACGTGATCCTAATCTCTACCACTCTAAATTGCAGTAATCAGACTAATGAGTCAGCAAATGCCAGCATCTCTTAGATAAACACCCACAAGTTGTCTATCAATGTAAAAGTGAAAGACAACAGTTGTTGCCAGCTGGTCCAAAGAGAGGAAAGGCCAAGCAAATGGATTAGTGGATGAAAGCATGGGGTGAACCAGGGCTCACTGTAAGAAGCAGTCACACAACAAAATGACAAAAACTGCCAGAAGTTCAGAACTTCCCTTATCCGTCTCAGAATTCCCATGTGGTCTGTTGTACACAGAAGCAACAACTAATATGTCATGGACTATAAATCTGTATAATGACTTGACTTCAGTTCATATTGAAATTAATCTTCTCATGCTTACTATGAAGTAAAACCCAACAGTTAGCACTCTCTGAAGACTTATAGACCTAAATTACTGTCAAGTAAACTAACATTTCCACTTATAGAATCACTACAACACATCTTGATTGCACTCTATATTTTAATCAGAAATATAGAAACTGAAGAATAATTCATATAGTGATGCCTTCTATGTTCCACTATTTGAATCATCTTTTTAAAAGCATTATTAATGTGAGACATTCCAAGAAGTTCACATTCTTAAGAATAAGACATTCTCAGAACAGATGCATCGAATGCCTGCCTATAATCCAATCTAGAGCGGAGGCTCTGTGTCACAGAGCACCAGTGATAGGAACACAGTTACCAGAAGTAATGGAAGTTTTTTCAGGTACTGGCCCCATCACAAAAAGCCTCCTGTTAGTGGGATTAGAAGAGTTACCAAGGTTCCATGTACATGCAGCTAGGAGCAACCCTTGGAAGATAAGGTAAGTGGCAAAATCTTGCGTTTACTGCATTTATGAGCACTATTGTTTTTGAAACTTGGGTTTTTGTTTTTCTTTGTAGCTCTATCTATAAGTGATCCATCTTTCAGAAGCCATGAATTATCCTGGATGTCTTTTGCTTCCTTTCATATTCGAAAAAAGACACATATTCAATTGCAGTTCCGGCCTTTTTCTACAGATGGCATCCTATTTTATGTTGCACAACACTTACAAGCACAATCAGGTAAAGATGGCAGGATTTTTGTGTGCAGTAAAAAAATAATCCTAATGAAGTCCCGAAAGTCTATTAAGTGATAGGTGATTAAATATTTTATTTTTTAAATCACCTAGCCTATAAATATGTAAACAGTTGATACTTTCATGTTCTATTGTTTCTGCATTATGTTTATGAATTGACTCCCTAAATATAAATGTTAATAAAATAGCAATAGCTTTATTAGAATTAACATTAGCAAAATCCAAATATAGTTATGCTCAGCTTTATAATAATCCTGTCAAAAACGGTTGAAGCCATGCCTGATAGTCTATGTCAAAAGGAACAAAATATACATATAAAAGATTTCAAAAAGGAAGACATGGCTGTTACATTTCCAGGAAATCCATCTGCATTAACAGCTCCTAAAATTTTTCTTTAAGTAGCTCTGTCTTCTAAATGGTAAAAGTTTAGGATCCACATCCCAAAATAAGTTTCTAAAAATTATTGGAACCATAAAATTGCAAAATTATTGTAAAACAATTTGGAATAAAAATATCCAAGTACTATGTTGTACTCAAAATTGACATTTGAGATTTTATTACTTTGTCCTTTATTTCCATTTTCATATCTTTCTCTAAAACTTTGACAGAGGCATTTGCATAGTCACATTTTTACTGCAAAATATTTTTAAAAGTTTACATTGAGGTTTTTCTTTTGTTTCTCAGAAAACAGAATTTTGATATTGAGAAATAATTAACTTGGTTTGTTTCTCATAGTCAACAAATATTGTGCCCTTATTTTCACAATCTAACCTAAGTAATTCTTTTAAAGGTGTCTTAATATGTGGTTAGATGACAATATCAGAGAATTAGACAAAAGTGGTTTTATCTCAGTGCACTGGTGAAATGCCTTCAAAATAAATTCAAGGAGAAAAGATGGTGATTTCAAAGAAGGAAGATAACATAATTGAGCCATAAAATATTTTGGAAGAGAATTGTTCTCCTGAGATTTGACACTTGGTTTTAAATTCATGATTAATTTAAAGCTCCCTATGAAAATGCTAAATGGAAGAATCATGCACAAATAGAAAATTTCTGTTTATAAATCTAGTCATTAAGATGTCATCAGCTTTAGTTATACACATAGCTCATAAAAAAAACAAAACAAAACTCTCAAAGTTAACTTTTGTATGGTAAGGGCAGAAAATCAAGACATATTCAAGACTCTGACTGGCCAAGGATGTTGTACTGTAATTTAACAATCAGTGCAGTGGATATGTATCTGTGTTCATGTATATAAAATTAAAAGCTCATACACATTAATTCTTATAGGAGGCAAGAACACATTTTTCTTACATATCATTAAATAGCACTATATTTCAGTTCATGGAAGTCAAGGTTTTTTCTTTTACCAGCCATTAGACACTATTTACAAAGAGAACTGAAAGTAGATTTATTAGTTCCATGTCATGACTGGTGCTGTATTTGACACTTATGTAAGGAAATCATAAAAACTTTAAAACATAAAACATTGAAAAATCTAAGCTCTACATTTGCAGGTTTAGATTAACTTAAAGGTAATTAACAGATTTAAGGTATATACTTATTACTTATTAATTAGGTATAACCAATGAAGTATATTTATTTATTTAAGGTTGCATAAAATAGAAGTGACTGTCTCATACTTTGTATCTTCTCCTAAAACTATGTCTGATGTAAACATTAACCAAGCCTTCTACCTCATCCTCTAAGAGGAGCTATTAATAAAAACTTCCCAAACATTTAATATACAATGTCAAAAATCACAAATTTAGATTTTCAGTGGCCAGTGAGATTTTCATATGTGCCAAACCAAATTCCCAATGAAAAGGTTTCTGTGTCTCTTCAGAGGTAAATAATTTGAATAATTTAAATAGTGTAAAATTTGAAACAAAAGGATAATTTGAAAATTATCCTAGTTGATTTTAGATCTGATTTTGGAAAGAGATGAAACTTTGGCACTGTTTATCTGTTTCTCCTAAATATTTGATATCACAACATGTTTGACATAAGAATTATCAATATTATGTTAAGCATAAATTAACCACAGAATTGGATTCATCTTGTTAATAAAATGTTTAAAATTCATTTTTGTTGAGAGAGATATATTGACTTGTTGTTCCACTTATCTGTGCCTTCATTGGTTGATTCTTGCGTGTGTCCTGACCGGGAATAACCAAAATGCTCGTATACGGGAACAATGCTCTAACCAGCTGAGCTACCCAGCTGGGCCTGAGTTCATCTTTATATAGTTACAGTCCTCTCAGACAAACATGTATTTAAGAAGCCTAGTCAACTACAATGTAAAGTTAAAACATATTCAAACAACTGACAAAAGATAAAATGTTATATTACCTTTGCTTTTCTTTTTAGAGAAAATATATACAAAATTCCCTTAATAAATTCTCTGTAGTCTCATCACAAATGTTAGGTTCTACCAGGTTCATTTGATCTGTGTTGCTTCGTGGGGACAATGGCAGCTCAGAGGAGGGAGGGAGAGAGGGAGAGAGGGAGGGAGGGAGGGAGGGGCTGCAGCCTGGTTAAACAGGTAAATAGCCAAAGTGCTTTTGTGTATGATCTTCATTCCACTTACCGGCTCACTTTCTTGTAAGGACCACCCACTAATGGTGAACTTTTAACACTTACTCACCCTAATGCCAATCTGTGTCTACAGCACTATTTTCTAGTCAACTAAAATCAAAGGTCTGCATGACAAAAAGCTATAAATAAGCTAAGAGCAATTTTAGCTTCTGGGGACACAGAGGAAGAAAAATGACACACACCCCACTTTTTTGTAAAAAAATTTTTAAAGATTTTAATTATTTATTTTTAGAGAAAGGGGGAGGAGGAAAGAAAGGGAGAGCAACATCGATTGGTTGCCTGCACATGCCTCGACTGGAACTGAACCCAGAACCTAGGCAGGTGCACTGACTGGGAATCCAGTGACCTTTTGCTTTGCAGGAGGATGCCCAACCAACTGAGCCACACAGGCCAGAGCTTGTCAGTTCTTCCTAAGAGAAGAATGCACCAGCAAAGCCACGTTAAAATAAGCAGTTCTCCTTGCTCTTTCTTCTGGTTGGCAACTGGAGGAATGATACAGATTTACAGCCTCAGCTTTCCTAATCATTTGCTAGATCATTTTTATTCCAGTGCTGCACTTCACTGTAAGATTGTTTGCCATAGGACACAATTAACAAAAGAAAGTTCTTCCATTATGCTGTGAAAAAGAATTGTTTTGTGTCTACTTGCAAGCCACAAAGCATATTCAAAGTGCTATAAATTTTTAAAACTTAGTATCAATTATGTTTCATTGTTCTAGTTTCTTATGTTATAAAAAAGTTTAGTGATTAAATCTGTATTTAATATTTTCTTATGTAAGCTATTTGTAATGCTGCTTCTCTTTCCTTAGTTTAAAACGTTGTTCATGTTAGAAAACATGGAATTGGATTTCTTCCTCATTGGAGGAATTTTTAAAAATCAATTTACATGTTATAGGGTTAATGCCATAAAACTAGTTATTTGAGTATTACTAAGTATACCCCACAACTATACAAAAGTATTTCTTAATGCAATGATTATTCATTGAGTGTCTCATCATGTGCCAGGCACTGTGCCTAGTGCTAGGGATGAACTGTTGGGCCAAATCAGCTACAGCCACGGTTCTCGTGAAGCTCACAAAGCAGCAAAGGCAGCTATTAATCAAGTAACAGATGTAATGATGTAGATTATATTTATGAGAAATATAAATTCTCTAGAAATTACAAGAAAATTAAAGCAAGAGAACCATATTTTGCGTGGTCTTATCCTTTCCCCAGGTGGAAATGATAGGTCTGACCATACAGCAACTATGCCTCCCATACATCCTAGAGTGGCCTGGTGTGGGCCACAAGGGGGTGTAGAAGAAAGAACATTATTTGCAGTTGGGCGATGACGCTGGCTGGCACTTCGAAAGCAGGGAGAGAAAAGAGTAGTAGCATGTGCCAGGAAATCTCCCTGGATAGAAAAGGAACAAACTTTTTATTGTTTGTGAAATGTTAGGGGTAAGGGAAAATGCTCTTTTGAGGAAGATTCCTTCAGGGTTTGTTATGTAAACCACTTTGCTACCTTCTTGAAACAATCTTACACTGAAGGGCTACATTCTTTTTCCAGGCCTGTAGAATTAAACGCATTCACTTTTCCTCTGAATGCCTCACTGCAACTTCATGTGCATGCTAGACCACTGGTTCAGATTTTTTCACACATGCCTATATAATTATGAGATAAATATTGTGAGAGAAACTTCATCCTATTAAAACATCAGGGGGAAAAAACTGACCAAAAAAGACTTCTCTGAGGAAGTGGCATTTGATCGGAGACCTCAAAGACAGGTAGGAGTTACCTAGATGAGGTGGAATGGAGTGGAGTGTTCCAATAAAAGAGAACATGCACAAGTTTCTGAAACAAGAGGATGAAATCCTAACAAGGTCAGTGTTGCTGGAACAGAGTGCAGGAACTGGGAGAGAACATATTCCAGGTGAAGTTGGAGAGAGGGACCAGGAACCTGCAGAAACTTAGTCGATATGTTGAAGATTTTAAGTTCCTGGCCTGACAACAGTTAATACCATTAAGGGTAGTATAATAATGAGAATGTTTTTTGATGTAATTACTTTAGCTTCAATGCAGACCAGAAAATCAGTTTGAAAGAAGAGTGATAGATCATATACTAGAGATGATAGTAAATTTAAAGTGGCAGAAAAGAAGTGGACAGAATCAAGATGTTTACAATGAACCCAAATGCTAATAAATGTTTGATTAGAGATTATGTTTGACAAGTTATGTGTGGATCAAAGAAAGAATACTATCCAAGGGTCACACTTAAAGTTTGGATTTGAAGAACTGGATGGAGGGACTGACTCACTGAGTTTGGGAAGACTGGAAGAGGTCAGGTGTATGAGAGAAAATTCACAAACTGAGGTATGAACTTTGCAGTTTGAGGCACCTTTCATAAAACACCCAAGCAGAGCTCTCAACTAAGGGTCTGTGTACTTGTAGATAGAACTTGCCGCCAAGGGCATGGCTGAAAAACACACACACAATACAATAAAAGGTTTTCACAGCATCACTATTAACTGTTTCTTTTGCCTACCTCCCCAATCTGTCAAAACAGTGGGTTGGGGTAAATGTTACTTTTTACACGTTCACCCTTAACTGATATTATTAAAGGAAAACCTCACTTTAACTTAGTACCACAATGCATTCACTTAGTGGGAAATATTTACAACTAGAGGAAACTAATGTGGCCAAATCCACAGCAAAATAATACAGAATGTGAATGAATGAATGCACATATACTCCAATCTGTAAATGGGAAGGAAAATATCTACCCTAATTATGCCCAAGACCATTACCTTTTTCCCAAAATGAAAATTTAGTCATGTGGCCAGAAAAGCAAGTTTTTAATGGACTAACCTTTCACTGTTACTAAATTGGTTTTCTTTCTCAACAGGTGATTTTTTATGTATCTCTTTAGTAAATGGTTCTGTTCAACTTCGCTATAACCTTGGTGACAGAACTATCATTCTAGAAACTCTCCAAAAAGTAAACATTAATGGAAGCACTTGGCATGTGATAAAAGCAGGAAGAGTTGGTGCAGAAGGCTACCTGGATCTGGATGGGATAAACATAACAGAAAAAGCCAACATTAAAATGCGCTACCTGGACACCAACACTGACTTCTATATTGGAGGTGTGTCATCCTTAAGTCTTGTAAATCCCATGGCAACAGCAAATGAAGCTGTAGGTTTTCAAGGGTGTGTCCGAGAAGTTATTATAAATAACCAAGAATTACAATTAACTGAATTAGGAGCAAAAGGTGGCTCCAATGTAGGCGATTGTGATGGGACAGCCTGTGGGTACGACGTGTGCAGAAATAAGGGTGAATGTGTAGTAAATGGCACCACTTTCTTTTGCAGATGTTTGCCACATTGGACTGGGGACACATGTGATCTGTCTGTACACTGCGTGAATAATCTTTGTCTCCACCAATCTCTATGTATACCTGACCAGTCGTTCTCTTATAGTTGTTTGTGTGCTTTGGGTTGGGTGGGAAGGTATTGTGAAAACAAAACTTCATTTTCAACTGCAAAATTTATGGGTAATTCTTACATTAAGTACATTGATCCACACTATAGAATAAGAAACCTTCAGTTCACTATTGTATCCTTCAACTTCAGTACTACTGAAAGAGAAGGCTTAATCGTATGGATAGGAAAGGCTCAAAATGAAGAAAATGATTTTCTTGCAATTGGTCTTCACAATCAGACCTTGAAAATAGCAGTTAACTTAGGAGAAAGTATTTCTGTACCTATGATTTATAGCCATGGTACATTCTGTTGTAACTCATGGCACCATATCACTATAATTCAAAATCAGACTCTTATTAAGGCCTACCTAGATGGCAATCTCATCCTCTCTGAGGATATTGATCCACAAAAAAAATTTGTTTCTCTAAACTATGATGGTATTACTTATCTAGGGGGCTTTGAATATGGTCGTAAGGTAAACATTGTCACTCAAGAGTTTTTTAAAAAAAATTTTGTTGGTAAAATTAAAGATGTGTTTTTTCAGGATTCAAACAAAATTGAGCTAATTGAATCAGAAGGGTACAATGTTTATACTGGAGATGGAGAAAATTAGGTTTCACAAACTAATAGTGGCTATTATACTATACAAAATATGTATGAAAATGTAGTTCTTTTGTAGTTATTTCTTTGGCACATTCCTTACTGAAAATCAACTTCACTATTACCTGAAATAGTCTAAATATGAACACACTTTTTTATAAGCTTATAAATATAGCTAAAGTGTATAGCTGTTTTCCTACATAAAATTTATTTGTATGTTGGTTACGTTTTCACTATTAGTTTATTTAGTGTTTCTTCATCTGTGAATTGTTTTGAAATGGAATGTAGATGGAAATGAACTAATGATACAAGGTAAAAAAAGCTAATCGTATTACAAGGAAAATAAAAATTATGTAAGGAAATATTCTATACATGACTCAGCTATGAATATTCAAGATTGGCACTGTAAAATTTGAATGCTGACTTAAACCAAAATTTGTGGGAAGGTGGAAGGTAGGGGAACCAAGTTACCTGATGAAAGTTAAATCCTTGTCTTCCACTTATCAGTAAATATTAGTTTTTGTAATTCTTTTTTAAATAGCATATACACATCACAAATATGAAGGCAAATATCTTAATATATAAAATAATTATTTACCTCTAGAGAGTAGTGCAGATACTGTCAGTTTTTGCTTATTAAACCACATAGGATTACTTTCCAAACCATATACTTACTATATAAAACTATACAATTTTAAAATTAAATTTCATTTATTAAACTTCATTTATGTTTAACTTTTAAAGTCTACAGGTCTCAACACTGGGCAGCAAACAGGTTCTAAACACTGCCATGTTAAATTATTTTCCTGATCATTTGTATTGTTAAAAGTGTAAATTGAGAAAATCCTTTTTGCCCAATACCAATGACTGATACAACAGTCAATAGCATTTTCACCCCTCACCCCCCATTCCACCATTGCAAATTGGGAGGTAGTTGTTACTTAGCATTTTCATTTTGATATTTCTAATAATTTTGCCACCAAGAAAGCAACTGACAACACATGACTGGTACAAAGCACTGACTGGACTATGGAGGGAAAATAAAACTTAGTAATAAGCATGTAAAGTTTAAAAGGAAAAATATATTATTTATTACACCAAGACCCCAAAAAGAGGGCTGGTGGAAGTTCTTATTGCAAACTCTGCCTCTGCAGGCTCTAGTCTATACAAACTAGATAAGCCATTTGTCATTTGAAGAACTTTACCAAAAAAAACAAAAAAAACCAAAAAAAAACAGCCTTATTGTTGCCATTCCATTGCAGTCAGAAAGCGACAGACGTTCTTGGAAGGCCCTAGAACTGAAGTTCAGAATTTTGGCACCATTGCTAGCAGACATACTATTCCTATTAGCACTGAAAGTGTGTGAACAAAATATAACGTGGAATTCCAGAATGTCTATACACTGATCAAAAGAATTTTTTGTCCAACAGAAATCACAATTCCACACGACAGCTCTGTCCAATATTTTCTGAAAAGGTTTGACCTAAATTTGTTTTCATCCATACCACTTCCCTTAGACATATTGAGATCATGAGGATAACTGCTCTAAAAAACTCCTTGATAACCAAATCTAACTTTTAAAGATATATTTTGTGTACAAAGGCAAGAAAGTTGTTCTATGGAAGATTACAAAAGCTTCAAGGAAACTTTGCCTAAATGGCACTCCTGTCATATGTTCTCTCATGATAGTGTGCCCCTCGCCTTTCTTTAGAGCAAGGCTTCCCGAGGTGTAGTCCAAGGGTCTTTAGAGGGGATGTAGAGTGCTTCTTTTCCCAACAAATGCGTGGAAAGCCAGACTTTCTTCATATACTTCAAAGTGGCATATTGGAAAACACGGAATGTAGAAGCAAATGAGAGCCCAGTTATCTTAATTCACACTTAGATGTGCAAAAATAACGACACTCTTACTAACCAATTTAGTTTTGTTATTTTCCATTAAAAAATTCTATTAACATGATTATCTTTAAACAAATGAACAAGTATTTTTTTAATCTGTAGCATTTCTATTTCTCATATTCTAAATGATATAATCTGTAACAAAAGCTCTTTTGAGTTCTCTATTAGAGTATATAGTGCTGAAACCAAAGTTTTGAGAAGTGTTGCTTAAAAGCTGCTTCTCACAGCTGCACAACTAGAGTGTGATCATTTGTCTTCTACACCACAATGCAAGCTCCAAAAGTTGGAGGCTAATGACATTGTTCACCACTGAATTCCAAGAACCCAGCATATGCCTGCCAAATAGGCCCAAAATAAAGTAACTGAAAACTGCCACCTTGATAGTCTCCTGTAAATCAAAATGACTTGGTGAATCTTCTTTCACTCTAAAACCCAAAATTCCACCTGATAAATTACCAATACTTGTTTCTGCTACCCTAGTAATGGTGTTGAAGACTTAATGTGAGATGCTTTTCCAGCACGAAATAACAATAAAAACTTGTAAGATATTACTATAAATGTTACGATGTTTCTGAAAGTGTTAAATGTGTACACGAGAACACTTTAAATTGAGTTGAAGTATCTACACCAGTGGGTGGCAATATTTACCCTCTAAAGACTCCTTTTAAAGATTAAGTTCCTGGAAAAAAAAATAAAGGTATTTGGGGATATTGGGAGTTATACTGGATTCACTGCCTTTTTTTAAGTGTGTATCCTGGGGTTTCCTCCAGTGATTTAGTTCTGCATCTATAAATGAACAGTGGGCTCACGTTTTCAAAACAGGTCTAGCTATTAGCCTAATGTTTTTCAGCTCATCTAGTCACTTACCCTCTTGCTCTACACGAGTTAAGTGAAATTCTTTATGAAACAGGAATCCAAGAATCAGGGTATTTGGCCCCTTTTTAAAAGCAGTAACCAATTTTATTTCTGATTTGCTTTGGGAGACAAAAGTCAAGAGTTGACTATATACCTGTATTGCCCTTTGTAGTCACTAGGAAGTAGTAACCTGACCATTGTTTTAGAAGGATCTCAGATGGGAATAATGTTTCAAGTGTGAAAATTATGTCAACTATTTGCTTTAACAATATCTGGTTTATTAGGAAGTTCTTATACTACTATTAAACTTGATTAGTATCCTTCTTTAAAAACCTAACTACATTAAAAACTAAGAACAGGTGAGGATAAACTTAGTTAAGTTTTACATGTTAACACATGAACATGTTAATATTCATGTGGCTTCCCACTCCATTCTCTTTTCTATTGTTGGTATTAACTTTTAAGTATGTTTACTATGACCTTAGACGTTTGAGCACTCCAAAATTTTAAGATTAGCCTACACACGACTAAGCTACATTTAGTGAATCAAGGGCTGTGGTAAGTAGAATGCCACCCCCAAGTTGTCCACATCCTAATCCCTGAAACGTGTGATGTTAGGTTATATGGCAAAAGAGAATTAAAGTCACAGATGAAATTTAGGTGCTAATCAGGGGACCTTAAAAAAGAGCCAACATATCTTGGATTATGTGGGTGGGCCCCAGTAGCCACGAGGATCCTTAAAAGTAGGAGAGGCCCACAAGGGAGAGAGACAGCAACATGAGACCCAGGCTCATGTTACTGGTTTTGAAGATGGAAGAAGGGACCATAATGCAAAGTAGGTGGGTGGCCCCTAGAAGCTCGAAAAGGCCAGGAAATCAATTCTCTCCTCTAAAGCCTCCAGAAAGTGCACCCTCCTGACACACCTTAATCTCAAGATGTGGCCACTGAATCCACATCAGACTTCTGATTTACTGGTTTTAAGATAACAAATCTGTGGTTTTAAGCCACTGAATTTTTAATGTAATAACAGCAATAGAAAATTAGGCCTGGATAATTAGGATTTGAGATGAACATGAACTTTACAAATCTGTAGAAGAACCCACAGGTCTTTGGTTGTATCATCCTGCTCACTTGGACTTGGTTGTGGAGGAAAAGGGCTGTGAAAGGTATACATAATAATCAGGCTTCTGTCCGTATCTCCTGCTCTCAATTCTCAAAACACAACTGCCACACATACTGACTTTGGAGAAAAATAGAACTCGGCTAGAATCCCAGCTCTTATCATAGCAGTCTAACCTGGGTCAGGTTTCTTAACTTTTCTAAGTACCAGTTCCCTCAGCTCTAAGTCTTTACGCCTTTCAGGCTGACGAAGGATCATATCATTGGAAGTGTTCGGCATGTTTGCAATACAGAGGGTTCGTGGAAGCTTGTTGATGCAAGGATTACAAACGGTGGACTTAACAGGTATTAAAACACCCTAGTACATTTTACTTAACAGAGGTATATATAAAACTGTCTTGAGATGGTTCTAAATTTTAAAAAGCATCAAACGTTTTAAAGAGCAAGTTCTCCTGAAAACAGAAGAAACAAAGATGAACTTCATATAACTTGCTAGTTTGGAGAATGCTGGCTGTGAGACATAGGATCAAGAATGGTTTTGGATCTGCTATTCACTGAAAACTTTTCTCATTTTCCCTTACACTTGTCAGACATTAAAACCTCGGGAGATATGCCCATACTCTCCCTACTTGCCAGTTTCAGTCAACCAGGGATTGAGACCTAGTTCTAATACTTAGTAGCCCTAAACTCCTAGGAGATGGTCATCTCCTACATATGTAGGATGTGTCAAGATCCAATGAAATGTGAATAATTTTGAAGTAAGCCTCAAACAATATGTATAAGAAATTACTGGCTAAGAGGCAATCAAAAACTGACTTTAAGGTTTTCTTCCACTGGTTAATTCATTCTTTACTTGTATTTTGCAAAAGAAATCTGGTGTCTGACCAACCCTCCCAATCAGATAAATTAGATTTGCTGACAACATGTGTATTTGAAACCAAAAAGCTAATTTTGGAGGATTTGAGTGGGTTTTATTGAAGCAGGGGGTAGGAGGGTAGAGGGGATCCTGGTAACAATTTCTTTATAATGATGTAAAAGATGATGTACTGACCTTAAGTTTATTTGCTTGCAGACTTTTTTCTAACAAGTTCTTTCCCAAACAAAAAAGTAGACCAAAATTAAACAAATTTTATTTAAATACAAGTCCTCTGTCTCAGAACTTTTATGATAAAAAAACATCATCAGAGGATGACAAAAAAGATGCAATTTGTTAAAATTAGACAAAATGTATGGTTTTAAATTTCCATTCCTTCTCTCTCCAGTGAGAGTAACAAAGCTGATTCCATTTCAGAATGTATTTTTAACTCTACTCCTTAGACTTTTGAGGAAATCAAACATTATTACCTCTTAATTTTGTGAAGCCATTTTTCGTTTTTCTTTATTAATATATATAAGGGAAATTACTGGCTTCTTTCTCTTTTTGGCCTCAAGTGTTAGTATCATTTAGTTGCCACTGCATTAAATTATATCAATACAATATAGTTTGGATTGGAAATAAATTTAGATTTGGATTAACAATAGACTCCATGTGCTTTGTATCTGAAGCAAAACCAGCCTATGAAACTGCAGTTACCCCCAAAACAAATTAGGGTTAATTACACATTCACAAACAGATTCACAGCACATTTCTTGTAAATAAAAGTTCTGTGGTCTTATAATGAAATGGTTAGTCAGTGTACCCAATTTTGATAGTATCAAGTCTTCAGAAACATATATAAAGTGGGCAAAGCTGCAGTTTTTCATTGGTAGTTCTAAATTCTAGCCTCTTCAGAACTAAATGATTTTTATCAACAGCCTATACTTTAACACAAAGATATCATTTTTCCCCTCATCTAATGCCTGACACAAAGATAGCTTATGCCTGTTATGTATGTTCTCGGCTGAGTAAAAAAAACAATGTCTGAAGGTTATTAAAGCTTTAAAGAAGAAATTCTTTCACTACTGAATTTCAAGTCACACACACAAAATAGGTGAGAAATTCTTTTATCGTATTTAGAATCAAAATATCCCTTAAAATATTTACATTTTACAGTAAAAAGGATAGCAAAACACAAGATCATGTACAAGCTTAAGTATTCAAGTTTCTGAAGAGCCAGAAAAGAAAAGGAAAAGAATGGCCTACCACAAAGCTGTAGTATATATGGTAGTAAATGCCTTCAATGAGTGCAGATTAAAGCAGTAAATGTACTCCTTGGGATTCTGATTCTTGGTCAAAAACTGCTCAAGAAACTGATTAATATAATCTGATTATGAAGTCGCTTGCCTTTTTGTTGCTTCTCTACAGTTTCTTTAAAAACAGTGCAATTTAAAACAAACTTACAGAGAACACATTACTCTCAAATTAGTCATATAAAGAACATTCACTAGAGGCAGTAAATATATTCCATAGTTAACCATATTTACCAATTAAGGAATAAAACTAAAATTTCTAAGCCTTTATTGTATATTAATAAAACAAATCTTTGAATATACAGCAATGTAAAACTTTTAAAAATATTAAATTCCTATTACTAGAGACAGTTGGTACGAAGGAGGGATGATTACCACTGGTACAGAGCATTCTGTACCAACACACGGAGTTTATGGTTCTGCAAACCACCACCATTAAAAATCTGAAAGATGGCACAATCCTAGCAGGCAATCATAAAGTTCTAATGATACAACATTTAACATTTACTTAATGCAATCTTGAAGCAGCCCGCAAATTTTACCTTTTGCTTTTAGCTCTGTCAGTGTGGTCCCTATCTTTGTGGTACCTATCTCTGTCCTTTTCTCCTTCTCTATGTTTACCCTTCTCTCGTTCTTTGTCCTTTTCATGGTCTTCATTTTTAGGTTTATCAGGTTTCTTGTCTACATTCCTACTATCTCTGCTTGCTTTTCCATCTGATCCTCGATCACCATGTGATAACCGTGCCCTCTCTTTATCTTTGTGCCCTTCCTCCCTGTTTTTTCTGTCTCTGTCTTTGTCCTGGGTTCTGTCTCTGCGTCTATGCCTCTCAGATTCTTGCTCCCATTCCTTTTCATGTCGGTCTCTTTTCAAGTGGTGTGAATCACTATAAAACCTCTGGCGATCCCCTTTTCCCCTATTAAATGGCCTATCCAGCTGCTGCTGGTCTTGTCTACCCCAAGGGTCACTATGGCGCCTTTCTGGCCTTCGAATGTCTTTAACCTGGTAAAAATTTTGTGGGCCTATATACCTTGATGTTTGTGAAAGGGGACCCATCATACGTTGAGGCTGGCCTGTCAGGTGAACAACAGGTGGCCAGGGAACCATGGGATTTTGAGCAAAACCAAAGCCTGGAGGGGGAAGTAATGGGGGGGGCAAATGTGGTGGAAATCCAAACATGCTTTGTGGGGGGAAATTAGGAGGCCCAGGAAATGGAAATCCAGGGGGATTAGACTTGAGGTGCTGAAGGTTGGGTTGCTGTGGCCGCATGGGTGGAAAGTTTGTACTTGTTCTGGGACTGGTACTTCTAGAAGTAAAGTTGACGCTTTTAGAAGGAAATTCTGACTGACTTGTGTTTCCCACTTCAAAATGAGATGTTGCTGCTGATCCTCTTCGAAATGGGTGCACAGTTTCAATATTTTGCATTAAAATATTGTCCTCTAAGGGTTTTGCTTGTTCTGTTTGAGAAGTGTGTACATCTTCTACTGGTGCTGAGCTTTGTGCAACTCCTGAATCATCACTCTGCTGAGCACTTGAGTTTTTCTCTACAGGAGACAACTTTTCCTCTACATTGACTTGTTCTGTTAAGTGCTCCTTTTGTGACAGACCAGGCAAGGTGTGCTTTTCTCCATTCCCACAACTATCTCCATCTTTGCTTTCTGAAGCCGCTACCTGCTGACTTCGTCCTGCTGCTTGCCTAGGATCCCTTTTCAGATTGATAAACTGTGGGGACCTTGCCGTATTAGCAACAAGGTTTTCACTGCAACTCACATTACCATCTGTGTTTCCTTTTCCTACATTCGACCTGCATGGAGAACTAGTATTTGAAGTTTGATTATCTTCCAAATTATTCTCTTGATCTTGCAGCAGCTGTCTTTTTAATGTTCTCTCTTTACTCTCCACAGTTTCCTCTTGTTTCGACTGAATTGATAAATTTGTTAGGAATGCTTCTGTAGAAACATCTGGTGGTTTACCTCTGAGACTAAGACTGGTCAAAGTTCCAGGAGAAACGGAGGAGGGCCCTATTACTGAGGTCTCTTCTCCTACGGGTCCTGAATTACCTGTAGATTCTGCAATATGATCATCTCCTTTAACCTTTAACTCTTTAGCGTCATCATCAGTTGCTTCTACTTTATCTATTTTCTCTGCTTTGGGGTTGGCTTGCTCATTTATAAATGGAATTTCTTTAAGAGTGCTTTGTTCTTGCACTGACTGAGGCTGTTCATATACCTGATCAGTAGTGCCCAAAAGGCTCTGAAGTATATCGTCCACAGGAAGAGGTTTATTTGCTAATTCCATAGTGGAAGGCTGATTTTCCCAGCCAATCAATACCCCGGGAAGAAATCTTAAAGGTTTTGGTGGCTCCTGTTTGGTGACTTCTACTAAAGGTTCCATTACTGTTGGAATGTCTTCCTGAAGAGCTGGCTGAGGCTTATTTCTCTGCTTGTGTAATACAGTTGTAAAAGAATTAAAAAAGTCATTTTCTTCCTCTGGGGCTTCCTCTGTGGAAACTTCTATTTTACTTTTTTTATCAGGTGGCAATGCTATCGGTACACTTTCAGAGGTCTCAGCAGTATGACTGCCACTGGTACTAGCACTGTGTTGCCGCTTCAGTTTTTGACGAATAATTAAGCCCAACAACAGATTAGGTCTGTGCAGTTCAAGCCCTGTATAAAATCAAAACCATAAATTAAGTCACTTTCAATCATTAAAGTAAAGGGTAAATTTCTGCACCCTGGCTAGATGCCTCAGTTAGTTGGAACGTCACCCCCCACACCAAAAGGTTGTGGGTTCAATTCCTGTTCAGGGCACAAACCTAGGTTGCAGGTTAATCCCCAGTTGGGCATACACGGGAGACAACCAACAGATGTTTCTCTCTCCCTTCCTCTCTCTCTAAAATCAATAAACATATCCTTGGGTCCGGGCTGGTGTGGCTCAGTGGGTTGAGTGCCAGGCTGTGAACTGACAGGTCACCAGTTCAATCCTGGGTCAGGGCAACGCCTGTGTTGCAGGCCAGGTCTCCAGTTGAGGGTGTTCAAGAAGCAATGGAGCAATGTTTCTCTTGCACATCAATGTTTCTCCCCCTTTCCTTCTCCCTCCCTTCCCCTCTCCTTAAAAAAAAATACATTAAAAATCTCAAAAAAGAATT